CAAAGTCAAGATCAAAGATAGCTACACCCGACCTGAGCAGATCACCCCAGCGAGGGATCTCAGTGGCGTCAGGGAACTGGGTACGCCAGGCGTCTGTCAGGCGACCGAAGCAGCGCTGGGTGGCGTGCAGGCCGCCACACTGCTCTCCAGTGCGGTCGCCGGAGCGCAAGACGTAGGTACAGGGACCAGCATCCACAGACCCCTGGCGCCCTGCGTACCACTCACGAAGCTGCTGAGGCGACAGGGTCTCACGAGAGTGCTGCTGCTGCTGGGGTCCCCGCTGCACAGTACCGCCTCGACCAGCTCCACCTCCGCCACTGCCGCCTCCGCCGCCTCCACCCCAACCGCCACCGCCACCGCCGCCTCCGCCTCCACCGCTGCCACCGAAGCCCCCACCTCTGCCTCCACCCCCACCCCCACCCCCTCCTCCGCCTCCACCGCCACTACCTCCTCCCCCGCCACCTCCTCCCGCGCCCTTGCCCCGCTTGCCGTTGCCGGTGCGGCGCCTCTCGCTAGGAGCAGACGCAGCGCTGACTGACTCGGTGCCAACAAGGTCGACAGCAGCAGCAGAGGCAACGGAGGGCAAAAGAGGAACGGGGGAGCACCCCTCAAAGAAAGGGGTACGAGGGTCACCACGAGAGGCTCCTACAGCGGTAATACTAGTCTCTGCTGCAAGGAGGCGCTCCTCGAGGAGGTCAACGGTGAGTGTGGTAGGGCAAAGAGAGAGGAAGTGGTCCCTGACGGAGCGAAGGGTGTCAGGAAGCCGGGTGACTAGGTAGTAGAGGGTGATGTACATGGGGGGGGGGGTTCTTGGCGCAGAACTCAGTAGGAAGCGCAGCGCGGTAGCGGGTGTCACTAGTGCGGAGGTGCGTAATGAGGTCAGTGACTGTGGCAAAAGCGGCGAGGTCAGGGAACAAGTACGGGAGCATGAGGCGGCTAAGGGCAGCAGTGGCAGGGGAAGAGTAGCGTGCAACGACAGCGTCGTACAGAGTCTTAGCACTCTTGTACCGACTAAAGTGCGCGCGCTCAGTAGACGGCAGGTGACTACGCACAGCAAGGCAGGTAGCAGCATCGCGTGTGAGCCACTGCGAGCGAACAGCACTGTCAGCATCAGCAGCAGGGGCAGTAGAGGCACCAGACGTGAGATCGAACAGTGAGAGACCATCCTTGCTATCGCACTGTAGGAAAAGCTGCAGATCATCTAGCCAGACATCGAAGTCAACCGCTCGACCCTCAGCATCAAAGGTAAGAACACTGGGACTAGCCATGACAGGAGCAGCAGCAGGCTAGCAGCAGTAGCAGTGCAACTCGGCTAAGCGACGCGGCTAGGCAGGGCAGTGCGACTCGGCAGGGCGGCTCGGCAGGGCGGCGCGGCTCGGCGGCGCGGCTCGGCCCGGCGATGCTCTTACCAGGGGCGAGGCCGGGGCAGGGTCGAGGGAGGGCCGGGGCAGGGCTGCGACAGGTCCGGGGCAGGGCCGGGGCCGGGCCGCAAACGATCCGGGGCCGGGCCGGAGCAGGGCTGCGACAGGTCCGGGACAGGGCCGGGGCAGGGTCGAAGCAGGGCCGGGACAGGGCCGGGACGAGGCCACGGCAGGTCCGGGACAGAGCCGCGACAGGGTCGGGGCAGGGTCGGGGAAGGGCCGGGGCAGGTCCGGGACAGGGCCGCTACGGGGCCGGGGCAGTGCCGGGGCAGGGCCGGGACAGGGCCGGGGCAGGGGCAGGTCCGGGACGGGGCCGCGACAGGGCCGGGGCAGGGTCGGGGCCGGGCCGCGACAAGCGACGGGGCTGGGGCAGGGTCAGGGCCGGGCCGCGACAAGCGACGGGGGGAGGGCCAGGGCGGGGCCGCGACAGGGTCGCATGGGCGACATGGCAGGGCCGGGGTCGCGCCGCGATGGGGCCGCGACTGGGCCACTTCGAGCGACGGGGAAGGGCCGAGGCGGGGTCGCAACGGGGCCTCTAAGGGGGGGGCCGCCAACAGGCCGCAAGGGGGGGCCACGTAAGGCAGAGAAGGCCACTAGAGGGCCGCAAAGGGGCCGCGTAGGGCAGAGCGCAAAGCGCGCTTCGGGCAGGTAGGTAAAAAAAAATATTTTAACGGTGGGCCCTTAGGAAGGAACGGTCCCAGTAGGGAACCCGCTCTATACCATGTGAGAATAGGAATGAATGATTGATTAAGAAAATGAGTTGGGTACAAATATGAAACCCTAGAAAACTGTACCCCATAGTGTCTACCCCACTACAGCCTAGACAGGCTATGTGATTAATGTTTGACAGGCCAGTTCACATGTAGAGTTATATAAAAGAGAACAAACAATACAGTGATCATACCCTAGCAAGTGTAAGCATGCAGATATATATATAGATCACAGCACAAGTAGACTCACGCAGTCAGCAAGTGAGGCAAAGTAGGCACAAGGCCTAACACAGAAGAGAAGCGCTGATGATCACCAGGCGGAAGTGCCTTGGTGAATATATCAGCAATGTTGGCCCTAGTGGCCACGTACGCAAGACGAAGCTGGCCACGCTGCTGAAACTCTCGAGCAAGGAAGTATCGCAGAGCGATGTGCTTCGTTCTGTGCTCCAGTCTGTGCTCCTGACACAAGGCAATCATGGCCTTGTTGTCTACGTACAGAACTGGAGGTGAACGAGGCTTCTCTCCCAAGTCAATTTTCAGGTAGGTGAGCCAGCGTAGCTCCTGTGCAGCCATGGCCCCTGCGTAGATCTCAGTCTCACAACTGGAGCTAAGAACCAAAGACGAGCGGGTAGACCGCCAGGAAACAGAGCCAGAACCGAGGCTGAAGGTGTAACCCTGTGACGACCGCTGCGTAGCTGAGTCGTCAACCCAAGAAGCGTCTGCGTGACCAGTGAGGACAACTGGGCCCCGTCCTCCAAGCACGAGCCCCATGCTCGACGTACTGCACAAGTAACGCAGTACCCTCTTCGCAGCATCCCAGTGCACCTTTCGGTGCCTATCGGGAGCCACGTAGTGAGCCAAGAAGCTGAGAGGGTACGCGAGATCAGGTCGAGTGCACGTCATCAGGTACATGAGGCAACCCACAAGTTCTTGGTACAGACCACTTGGCTCTACGGACTCGTCCGAAGGTGGAGCTGAGAGCGAGTGGCCGGTAGACAGAGGAGTGGGCTGTGGCGAGGAGAACTGGAAGCCGAAGCGCTGAAGGACCTGGTGCACCATGTGTGACTGAGTCATTGTGATGGTGCGCCTTGCTCTGTCCCGGGTGATCTGCAAGATCCTCACCCCCAAGCTCAGCACCCCCACACCCATCACCCTCAAACTCCACACCCCAAGGCTCCGCACCCCCAGACGCAGCACCTCAAGCAGCACCTGAGCCGACAGCTACCTTGATAGGCGCAGAACCAGGGAGAGGGCCTACTTGAGACATATCTAAGGGAGCAGGACCCTGGGGCGGGAGGGGGTCTACCGGAGGGGGACCGGGAGCAAGGAAGGGCGGCGGGGGCGGGGGAGGGGCAGAGCGGTAGGGGAAGAGACGGTAAAAGGAAACCGACTCGTCAAACGTGACGTCCTGAGAAGGGAGGACACGGCGCAAGGTGGGGTGGTAAAACTGCCAGCCAGGCGCGTCAGCGACGAAGCCAAGGAAGAGGCAGGGGATAGCACGGGCGGAGAGCTTGTCCGCGGACATATCGCAAACAAAGGCACGAGAACCCCAGACCCGGAACACTGACGCATCGCCAACCTCCCCCGTCCAATGCAGTGTCGGCGAAGTCTCCGGCAAGGAGACACGGGGCCAGAGGTTGAGCTGATGCGCAGCGTACCAGACCGCAAATGGCCACAGAAAATGGGGAGCAGCCGCATGGATCATGGAGGTACGAGCGACCTCCATGACTAAGCCAATGCGGCGCTCACCAATCCCATTTTGCTGAGGGGAGTCCGGAAGCGTGAACGACTGGAGAATGCCCTCCCCACGACAAAAGTCCCACAAGAGGTCGGAGGAGAACTCACCACCCCTGTCAGAGTGCAGACGCAGGACAGGAAGGTCTGCACGGAACCGCTCATGGAGCAGGAGACGGACTGCGCGGATCCAAGGGATCAAGACATCAACGACCTGACCCTTGTTGCGCAAGGGGAAGACTGTGGTGTACCGCGTGTAGTCGTCAACAACTAGCCGAAAGTAGCGCTCGTGGCCCTGTCCACTGAAGCGGGCTGGGCCCCACATGTCCATGTGGAGAGTCTGCAGGGGAGCAGTCGTCGGGGGAAACGAGGAGGAGTGAGGAGCGGCGCGCTGCCGCCCCTCGACACAAGGAAGGCAGGGCGGGGCAGGCGAGGGCGGGAGGGGAGGCAGAGATCTGGGAAGACCAAAGACAAGGAGTCGGGAGTGCATGCCACGAAGGCGTGGCAGGGAGGGGTGACCCAGGCAGTGGTGCCAAAGAAGAGTCTGGTGCGACAGGAGGCGACACGAGCAAGGGGCAGCTACTTGACCTGACACGAACACCTGAGCAGACGCAGCTACCTGAGGAGGCTTGGTAGCGAGTGTGTACAGACTCGACCCTTGCCGACGAGTGAACGTGGCCAGGTGACGCCCCGTCCGTGTACACGTGTAGATCAACACACGCTGATGGCCCCCACACAGAGGGCCAGTGGCACCGACCTCCAGCCCACAGAACGCAGCACAGTCGGCAGCAGACCTCTGCTGGTAAACAAGGCCGCAGATGCCATTATAGGGCGTGAGGCAGTTTAAATACGTGTTCCACGTGACCGCAGAGCAGTTGCTGAACTTGACCTGCCCGTGCGAGAAGAAGTTGTCAACCACAATGTATGCCTGCACACCTGCCGCTGCCAGGCTGGGCAAGCGCCCAGAGAACTGGTTGTTGTTGAGATACCTGCCATGCCAAGGCAGCAGTGATGCACGGGCGGCTAAGCAAGGTGAGATCAGCGAATGCTAGTGTTGTGAAAGCTTGGGTGGAGAACGATCGAATGGAGAGAGAGACAGGGCCATGCGTGTGCGCATGTGTGTGGTGATACCCACAATTGAGTGACGCTCTTCATGCCTCGTATGATGGGCTCCACGGGGCCTGAGAGCTGGTTGAATGACAGAGAACTGAGAGCAGGGTGCACAGATTGACACACGTGAGCATGTGCACAGCACAGAGCATAAGCTGGTGGTTTACTCCAGAGGGTGCCGACCAATTTAAAGATGCAGTGGCACCAACCAAGTGCACAAAATGGATTGGATTTGCAGGAAGACGGGCTTTTGACTAGTCCAAGACTGGGGAACTGGTGTGCTACGGAACGAAAACGACAGCATAGAGCAAGCAAACGAGTCAAGAGAAAAATGAAGTCTGCATCAAATAACCGTACTTCGTTAATCAGAAACACCGGAGAGGACAGTGATTATAGAAAGCGTTTCGGGGTATGTACAGATATTGCAGCTTGGAGAGGCTCTGGAGGGTGCTGGGGAGAGTCCCTTCTAGCTGGTTGCCAAAGAGGTCCCTGCATGGTCCATGCACATCACATGCACATCACATGCATGCATGCAGCAGTGTCAACGCGAGTGAAACATGCATGCGTGTATGCAGTGAAACACGGTGTTGCCAATGCAGCGCAGTGCACGGTGCAAGTTACTTCTATGCTCGAGTCAAATGGAGTTGCCTGAATGGACGCTGTGCTCTATCCGTGCAGCTGTGCTGCATCTGTACAGTACGCACAGGTCCCGCAGCTTGGTGAGTTTCCCAATGGCTGTCGGGATGGATCCAGACAGCTGATTAACCCCCAGCCACCTGCCACCGCAAAATGTCCGAGCAGGTGTGGTTGTGGGCCAAAGGGTGGATGGGTTGGAAAATGAATGAACGAGGTGAATGAATGAATCGATGGATGGGGGGGAGAACTTGGCGATACGCAATGCAGACACTTGGTCAGGCCCTGAGATGGTAGGTGATTTCGCAGCAAAGGGTTGACACACCACCCTCTTTAAAAAGTATGGGCAACGCTGAAGAAGTTGAAACATGATGGACTTTGCAACAGTGGGCTGTGGCGACTCACAGGTACTGCAAGCTCAGAAGATCGCCCAGCGCTGCAGGTATGCTTCCCGAGAGATGGTTGGCAGCAAGAAATCTGAGATGAGAATGGTGTGAGACATGTAGAATGGTGTGAGACATGTAGAATCGAAATTGAGTTTGTACTTCCTACAACCCCACGTATTTGTGAGCTACGCATACTCACGCGCCAATACACGTAACACATTTCAGGGCAGGAAGGAAATGACGGGCAACAAACATTTGTCCAAGCTTTTTGTTGCCTCGGCTCAGACAAGCTTGCTATGCCAAAATTCTTCAGAAGCTACATGAAAAGGCGAGATTTTAACACTTTATGTAGGAGATTCGGCTGAGAACGTGAGAGGGGTATTTTGTAATAATGCAGGAACCTGCATCAAGCAGGGTACATGTTTGGGCAGCTGGAAAAAAAAGTTCAACCTGCATGGAAACGTAAACAAATCTCAGGTGCACGTATGTAACGTACAACGTACGTAAAGGTAAACTTGTAACATCCAGCTAAGGCTTGAGCAGAAAAGCGAAAACCTGTTTGGTTCGCCTCGAAGATGTTCGTGTTCAACCCAACCATGTTCATGTTCTTTAGATTACAGCGTGCTCCAGACTAGAATGTGGGGTCTAGATGTTGAGTTCGGTTTCATTCCCTTGTCGTTGAAGCCCCCAATCCCAAATCGGCTCTTTGGTCCTAAACGATTGTTAGGGTCGGGGTTATTTCTCAACCAACACTGACTGGACAACCAATAATTTTGGTCAACCCAACCAGCACTTACTCACCCTCGAATAATGTTGGTCAACCCAACCTAGTGGACCCATCGTTGACTTCACCTTCCACCTCTATGTATACCCCTGAGCTCGCTCGGCCCAAGACATGGATGAGAATGGTGTGATGTGAAACATAGATGGGAATGTTGCAGAATTTATGCTTACAGAAGATCAAGTTGCTGCAGCGATGCCAGAGAGGATGGAATTGAACCGCTCAGTGCATTGTAATTCAGCACCCTGCCAAGGCAGCACGCACATTACAACACACACACCATGGACTACACTCCACGTGTGACCAGTAACTGAAATCAATCTCAAGCCAATAGGAAAAAGGTTAAGAGAATGTATCAGCTCAAGTGAGCAGCAAGGACGTACATGGAAGAGCCAGATGAAGCAGAACCCAATTCTAGAATGACCATCGAATCCTGGAGGTCAGCGGTACTCACCAAGAGCATAGAGGACGAGGGGAGGTGATGACCTGATAGTGAGCCGGACAGAACCGCCAGACACGGGAGGACAGTGGAGGAACGGGCAACGACCGGGCTCCAGGAGGGGTCTGCCAGTCTGACTAGGACAGGTGCAGGGAGAGGAGTGAGGGTGGTGCTGTCACAAAAGAAACAACGTGAGGCACCTGAGTCCAGCGTGAAGGTGTGCAAGGCCTCAGCAGGTGCCGTACCAGGGAGAGAAGACTCACCAGCACCTAGAGCAGCAGCCTCTATACCTGGGTCAAGCGGCACACACCGGTAACAGTCACCCTCAGCACTAGCAGACAAAGCATAATTAGTATAGGTCAAAGAATAGCATCATAGTCTAGGTCAAAGATCGCAACACGAGACCTAAGCAACTCTGCCCACCACGCATCGTCGAGACGGGAGAAGCAGCGGTGCTGCGTGTGCGCCTTCCTGCATGTCTGACCAGCACGGTCACCCGTGCGAATCACATACGGGCAGCTAACACTACCCCCAGACACCCCATGCTGAGAAAACCACTCACGAAGCTGCTGGGGTGACGGGGTCTCGCTCTGACGCTGCTGCTGCTGCCTCTGGCCTCCTCCAGAACCTCCGCACGGAGCTCCAGTCCGACCGCCACCACCCCCACCACTGCCACTACCACCACTCCCACCACTGCCTCCTTCGCCGCCACCAAAGCCCCCACTCCCGCCACCACTCCCACCGCTGCCACCACCTCCACTTCCCCCACCACCTCCACTGCTGCCCCCACCACCACCCCCGCTGCCACCGCCACTTCCCCTGCCACCCTTGCCCTTGCTGCTGCGGCGCTTTGCTCTAGCAGAAGTGGCTCAGACGTCCACAGCACGAGGGACATCAGCAGCGGCAGCAGAGACGTAGGTGGGAGCAAGGGGGGAGGGTGAGCACCCCTCAAAGAAGGGCGTGCGCGGAGTGCCACGAGCAGCACCTAGTGCGACTATACTAGTCTCAGCTGCAAGGAGGTGCTGCTCGAGTAGGTCAACAGTGAGGGAGGTGGGGTCAAGGGAGAGAAAGTGGTATCTGATAGAGCGAAGAGAGTGAGGGAGGCTGGTGACTATAATGTAGAGAGTGATGAACATCGGGGGCTGGTTCCTGTCAAGGAACTCAGCGGGGGCGGCAGCGCGGTAGCGAGCATCGCTAGCGCGAAGGTGGGAAACCAGGTCCTCGACTGTGGTAAAGGCGGACAGCTCGGGGAACAGGTAGGGTAGGAGGAGGCGGCCTAGAGCAGTAGTGGCAGGCGAGGAGTAGCGAGCAACTACAGCGTCGTACAGTGTCTGCGCTGTCCTGTGCTGTCCGAATTGAGCGCATTCGGCCAACGGGAGGTGGTTGCGAATGGCTAAGCGGGCAGTAGCGTCGCGAGTCAGGCACTGTGAACGAGTCGCACTGTCAGCTGTGTCGGGAGGGGCGTGAGCGGCGCCATACGTGTGGTCAAACAACGAAACACTCTCCCTAGAGTCGCTCAGCACGTAGAGCTGTAGGTCGTAAAGCCACGTGTCAAACTGCAGGGGGCGTCCCTCATGATCAAATGCTAGCACGTGGAGAGAAGCCATAGCGGTGTAGTACATAGGAGCAGCTAAAAGGGGCGGCAGTAGTAGCAGCAGTAGCAGAAGTAGTAGTAGCAGCAGTGGCAGCAGCAGCTGTAGCAGGAGTAGCACGCAAGAAGCGGCGTGCGGAGCCTTGTGTCGACGGGTCAGGGGCCTAGTGGCGACAGGCCAAGGGGCAATGGGCCGCGGGGCCTAGGGCCAACGGGCCGGAGGCCTAGGGGCGACGGGTCGTGGGGCTGAGGGGCAACGGGCCCGGGGGCCTAAGAGGGACGGGCCGTTGGGCCGAGAGCGAGGGGCCGGAGCGCGCGGGCTAGGGTCGACAGGCTGGGCTAGGGGCGTGCGAGCTAGGGGCGACAGGCCAAGCGCGCAGGTTAGGGTCGAAAGGGCCGGGTCGCTCGGGCTAGGGTCGACAGGGCTGGGCGCGAGGGCTAGGGGCGACGAAGCCAGGCGTGCGGGCGAGGGTCGACGGGGCCGGGCGCGAGATCTAGGGGCGACGGGGCCGGGCGCGAGGGCTAGGGTCGAGGGGGCCAGGGCGCGCGGGCTAGGGGTCGACAGGGCCGGGCGCGAGGGGTAGGGGCGACAGGGGCGGGTGCGAGGGCTAGGGTCGACGGGGCCAGGGCGCGCGGGCTAGGGTCGACGGGGCCGGGCGCGAGGGCTAGGGGCGACGGGGCCGGGCGCGAGGGCTTGGGTCGACAGGGCCAGGGCGCGCGGGCTAGGGTTGATGGGGCCGGGCGCGAGAGCTAGGGGCGACGTGGCCGGGGCGCTCGGGCTAGGGGTGTCGACGGGCCGGGCACGCGGGCTAGCGGCGACGGGCTTAGGGGCGCGTTGGCTAGGGCCTACGGGCTGGGCTAGGGGCGACGGGCCTAGGGGCAATGGGCAGAGGGGCGACACGAGGGTCGCTAGGGGCTGCTAGTGGGGCAGCAAAGTGGTGGGCCCAAGGAAAACCGGTCCTAGCGGAGGGCCTGCTCTGAAACCATGTGAAGAGAATGAACGAGAATGAATGAACTAGCAAAGAGTTGGGTACAAGTACTAACCCTAATTGGGTTGTACCCCTTATGGGCTACCCCACTATAGCCTACACAATATAAGCTATACACCATTTTGACACTATAAGCTCTAAACACACCTATAATCCACACTAGAAACACTTCCCTGGAAAAACTTACGGTTTAGAGGTTTAGGGTTTAGGGTGGCGAGACGCGAATGCCTAAGGGAGAAAATCCGAGGCGCGCGAGTGGTGGGCCCATGACATCGACAGAAAAATCGCTAGGGGATAACCGTCGCTCTATACCATGTTGGAATAGGAAACGTAATGAATTTACTAGAAAAAATAATGACAAGGAAGATGTATGCAAACCCTAGCCACCCCTAAGTATGAACGTATACCACCTAGATTAACAAATAGATGCTATAACAAATATAGCTTGAAAGTCGAAGGAGCAGACCCAAGAGCCGCAAGTGTTGTCCTTTGTGTATCGTGCCATTCGCGGGGTGTGTGGCGGAGACCGTAGATTGGCCGTCGGAGGCTCCACTGGGTACCCTCAGGAAACGACCGAGTGAAGCCAGTTGGGCGGCGCAGCCAGATCTCCTCGTGAAGGCTGCCATGCAAGAATGCTGTGGAGAAGTCGAGAGAGTGCTGCTCGTACTCACACAGTGCGGCAACGTGCAGTGATGGTGGTTGAGCACTTGATGAGTTGGAGTTGTGGGCCTTGTAGTGTTGGATGATAACTTGGGTGACTTGTGAAGGGATGAATGGAGGAGATAGGAAGGCTTGATGTCTTGGAGTAAAGGGTTAGGTGGTAATCATGAGTCTTTAAAGGATGAGTTGACAAATTTGGTGACTTGGGAAAGGAAGGATGGACGGAATCAACGAGAGGCATGTGGAGGTTGATGACTAGGAAATGGAAGCATGTGCTTGAGGGCACATGGAAGGAGAATTATTGGAGGAGGTAGTTGACTTGGAGAATATTTGGTGAGTAAGAAAAAAGAGCACATGGGAAATGATGAAGACTCTGGCGGATTAGGAATAATTAAAGAGAGGTTGGTAGGCTTTGGTTGGAGAAGATGAGTTGGAAAAGGAAAGATTGGGGCTTGGGTGGTTGGAATGGGTTTGTAGGAGTTGTGTAACCTTGGGAAGGCAGGACGGAAAGATGTGAGGGTATTTTTGAAGGAATGGGGTTGGAGTGGCAAAGGGTGGCACGTGACGATTGTGTTGTGTCACCAAGAAATGTTGTGAATGAGTTACTTCACTATAGCACACAAGGTACATA